CCAAGATCGACTGATGTTGCATCGTTACCGAGCACTGCATTGTTGTTCCTGTCGTGGTGGCCGGATTCTATGTCTATGTTTAGAGGGACAGACTGTGGGTTTGACATTTTCGATCCTAACATGAGATCAGAAATACTTCAAAGAACAAGTGTAAAATAGGGTGAGTTATGGTGATTCGTATCAAATTGTCGCTATTGATATGAGCGCCAAACTGTTTACCCTCAAAATCGGATAACAATTGAATTTGTTAGTGGTTTAAAGGATATACAGATTAACTTGATACTGAATGATAAATTAGATTACAATTGAAATAGATAACGATAAATTAACTACAAACCACACGAATAGGATAATTTCAGCCTAGGAAAGCTGACCACCCTTGAGTTGAATGTACTTCGATTAATACCAAGATACCAAAGAATAAAAATTTAGATGATAACGGTAATGTATTGCTTATGAGTGTAAGTTACAATGTCTTTCATGAATTGTGAGCCCTCCTTTTATATTTTAGAGGAACTTACTTTTAAGGTATTACACTATTATTCCATAAAAAGTAAAAAAAGGTCCTTGGTTTGTTGACCGTTGCCCCTTTTTTGGTATGTTATGTGATTTCCGCCGTAATGCCCGATTAGTTGCGGGAATTTCGGATCCCTGTCGGATAAGCTGGCAATATATTCCTTGAGACCGTTATGACCGGGATCGGTTATGACCTCGATAAAATCGAAGGCAAGTCTGGTGGTTCTAATGGCTAATTTGGTTAGGCAGGAACCGATCTCCGGGATTTTATCACCATCTCTCGATCCCAATTTGTCATGCTGGATGCTCGGTCAAATCTCGAGTTCAATTTTACCCGTATACAAGTATGTTGACATTGTAAGGAGCTTCATCCATGATAAAATCAAATACAAATCACATTAAAAAACAAACTGATTTACAAACTGATTTGTAGTAATATTATTTTTAGATTGAGTTTCATATGACTTTGCAAGAAGAACTATAAGAAGTTCGATATTTGCCTCATTCGACTAAACTTTAAGGAGTCATTTGGTTACCTGGATGAGAGAGACAAGGAAATCTCATGTGATTAGCTATTGAGGTGGATGTAATGTTTTGATACCGGGTTCAACCGAACCCAGTACTTTTTGCACAAAGCATAAATTTATGTGTACAAATTTATTAATATTATAATGTATAGCAATATGAATCCATAACTTTAAAAATACAATGAGTTCAATGCTAAAACCTTAAATGTTGAACCCATAAAGCTCAAATCCCAGATCCGCCTCTGATTAGCTATCCCATATAAAATATGAGATAGCTGATCCCACAATTTTAATATAAAAATGGTTCACGAGACTAATTAATATCCATAACCAAATACGAGATAAAATAATCTCGTATTTTATCCCGAGGTCCCTTTCTCCCACCAACCAAACGACTCTTAAATACTTCATAAAAAACTGATTATGTTTTAAATAGCGTAGGTAAGAGCAGATTATGTGCAAATAACAAGTTTCAAGCCCAGGAGGTTTGGTAAACGAATGGGCCGTACTTGGCCCAATCTATCAATTGGGCCGGTAAGTGCTCTTTGGTCATTTTCTCTGTTTCCTCGTCAAAACCCTAATTCCACTCTCTGTACTATATGTACTCTTCTACGGCTTAAAACTTTATTCACAATTTCATAAGACTCTCTCTTTTTGTGTCTTCTTTGCTTGCAAATTTATAAGTTTCTATTCTTAATTTCAATTTTCAACTGAATTTTATTCTTTGCCTTTGAATTGGCACCCTTGAAATAATTAAGGATATGGGTTTTTCCAAGTTTGCATTTTTATGCAAATAAAAAAGGCAGAAATGTTTTTGCAGAATCGTTGAGTCGCTTTGCCTGTATTATTTTCTAGGCTTAGTGAATAAGATCCTGCAAAATTATTCAATATTCTTTGGATTTTTCCTACCTTTTTTTTATTGTTCTGAATTTTTTTTGATTTGGGGTTTTCCTATGATGGCATGAAATCTTTGAGACCTGAATTCTTTATTTTGATGACAACTACAAGCATTTTTTCTGAGGATTTCCCCACTTCCAAAAAAATTGGAAAAATTATTTTCTTTGTTCTTATTTGATTTATGTCATTTTATTTGTTCCTTTTTTTGTAATTTGTTATATTTTTTTGTGTTGATTGAAAAAAAAAATGATTTTGGGTATTAATATATTATTGTTGAGATGATGATTGCACTGGGCTCTGAGCAGTTTTAAGAAACTGCATTATATTGATGCATAAATGCAGCCTAGAAAACTACGTCTGATCACACTCTTTTTTGATGGAAAACTTTTAATTTTAGTATCATTATTTATATGTTTTAACTTATTTTTCACTTTTATTCTTATTTGGTAATAATAATAACATTAGTTGAGCATAAATGGAAAATCATAATCAGTAAGGATTCATCATATAATTGTGGATTCATAATATAATTGATTATGACTTGTTTGAGATTAAGGTTCACTTGTTGTACAAGTGAACAGGTTTGGCTAGAGAGTGCTAAGTTTGGCTGAATATAGTAGCTTTGATTCGAACTCTGTATTTTATCATAAATATATATAAATTATTAATTTAGAACTGTCGATTTAGAATTCTAAAATCATAAATTTGAAATCCTGATTTTTGTCAGAGTTGGAATCCTGGTTTTTGTCAGAATTGGCACATTGCTTATGTGTTAGTAGTGACTTCAAATTTTTGTCGTTCCTTCTGTACTGACTTGCGACTATTGAAAGAAAATCCTTATCAAATTATTAGTTTCCTACATTTTCTTTAAGATAACAGATTGAAACAAAGGAAGAGCAGAGCATAATCTAACCTCACTGAACTTCTACAAACATCTTTGTTGCATTAGTGTATTGTAATCACAATATAATCTGTCTTACCTTGAAATTATTTGGACATAAGAATTGTAAAATTTCAAAAAAGAAATTTTAACTGAAAATGGTATATGAAAATTAGCTATCGTTTGGCCATAGATTCTCAAATTTATTTTGAAAAATTTGATAAAGTTTGGTTTAAAGATGAAAATGTATTTGGACATGATTTTTCAAAACATATTTTACTTTTTATTTAAAAAAATATGAAACATGACTTATATCCATAGGTACTAAAAACTGTCACAAATATCTAATAGTACCGTTATCACAAATCATATTCTTGAACATAAATAAAAATAAGTTTGGTACAAAATTATTATTTTTATAATGAACTATATAAATTATTAATTATAGTGAAAACTCATCAGAGAATTATGGCTCCTAATTAAAAAGCTCCTAATTAATAAATGTGGGCTCTTTTACAAATTATAAAAGTTTGGGATAATATTTTAAAAAATTTAAAAATATAATGGTTATGTTTTGACCCAAAATTAGCAATTGAGGTGATTTGGGATTTTGCCAAAATGTGGGCAAAATTTATGGCGAAACATATGTTTGCCAAATAAATCTCAAATTTATTTTGGCAAAACTCATGGCCAAATGGGTCCTTAGAGTTCGTACTTGGACATGAATATAACTTTGGATTGATTTTAAAGTTTTGTGAGTAATTGAAAATTTTGAAAAATAAAATTTTGGAGGTTTTTAAATTTTCGAAAAATTTCAAAACAAGTGAATTAGAAAAATCACGATAATCGCTGCTTTAAAAAAAAAGTAAATTTTTTTCGAAAAAAGCAAAATTTCTTATGTGGCTCTAAATTTAGAGAATGTTTCCAATATCAAATCAAAATATGGACATTGGCTAGTGTTGCAGTTAATAGATTACAACTTTGTATATTACTTAGCTAAAAGAGAATAGTAAAGAAAGTGTTAACTTTTGGATATGCTAAAGGACCAACTATTATTCTTTTTTTTTTTTCCTTTTTTGTGGCATACGTTTTCTTTTATATACATGGAAAGGAATGGTTCTCAGTTGATCTAGCATTGATATGGAGTAAGTTAAGGGTGTATATGATCAAGTTAGTTTGGTTTTTATTAAAATTAAATTAACTACATCGGTTTGGATTGGTCTTTTTTTTTATTACAAGAATATTATTTTAATTTTACTTTGTTAAAGTTATATAATAACGTTTTGATAACTAAATATATATTTAGTAGAAATTGGAAAAACTGGCAAATATATGGTTTATTAATAATTTCTTATGGGAGACTTTTTTAATAACACATGATAATTAATTTCTTAGTTGTCTAATAATAATTTTTTATCGATATGTGCTTTTAAGGTTAACTAAATTTAATAATTAAACGTAAAATCAATATGATACCAAATTAATGATATATTCTACTTAATTTTAAATTATCTAAATACTATTTCAAATTCGAAAAAGATATAAGAAATCTTGACATATTAATGTGGAAAAATAAAGAGATAGATTGACGTATTTTAATACCACTTGATAAGAAAGTGATACAACACATTATTTAAGAAATCTTAAAATAAATAAACTTCATAATATTATTAAATATTACATTTCATGAGAATATTTTAAATATTTATATATCGGTTTGGTTCAGATTTTTTAATTAATTTGATTTGATTTTTTGAACATCCCAAAAGTCCGTTATATGATTAAAGCTGTAGACAACTAGTGGTACTCATCTAAAATCTAATGAGAAGGACATTCAAGATTTAAATCACACCCAAGCGGTCTTCTAAAAGAGGTCAATGGCGGAGATGGTGGCAAAGTGAGGATAATTTTAACTTGAGCATTTAGTCGCATAAATAGAGCAAATGACTTTCTAAACAAACTCACCAGATAAGAAGGGATTGCTGAGATTATCAGCACTTTTCACCTACAATTCCAGGATCGTGGGTTCGAGTAACAAAAGGGAATCAAACGGAAGGGGATAAAAAAAACAAACTCTCACCTAAGGCTAACAAGGGTGTTAACATAAGAGAGCTCATTTAGAGAACCTTGAAAAACAGGAAAGATAATGTATTTGTTAAACTTACAAAGTTGTTCAGCTGTAACACACTTGAAATATAAGATGCTAAAAATTAACAGATAAATTAAGTCCCCCTTGATAGAGCCTTTCCTGGCAAGAGGAGCTTATACATAGAAGATGTTCAGCATATCCATGTTACATAAAGCATCAAAATTTATGTCATTACAAATAAAGACATTCATTCTACCGGACCATCACTCAGCATTATATATATTTATCCAACAAGCAAACTTTAGTACATCGAAGTGACCTCTTTAAAACAATATCCCTAGTACATTTCCTTAGAATGATACTAATCACAACTGCTTGAAACCGTTAAGCCAAGAAGCATATTGACGCAACCCATATTGCAGATTTGCAGTTAATTTGGAAGTAAACCAATTAGGATGTTAAAATGTATCCTAGTATAAACTAATCCTGGTATTGGAAACTTGACCCTCCTCCAAGTTCCGCGCTAAGCACCTGAGGCATCCCCAACATTCTACTAGATTGCACGATTCCTCTTTGAGCGACTTCAAGATTGAATCTAATAGCTAGTAACCTAGCCAACCGTCTTTGAACCTCTTTGAGGCATAGGTAGTTCAAGTATAATCAGGAAGAAACATCTTTCTGATTGTCTGATATACTGGACTTCTCCATTCATAAGATTTAAGATTTTTCGGCACATGCTCAGCCGTAGACCTTCCTGAGTTACCCACTGACTGTTATGGAACATATCTTGGATTAATTCAGGAGGAAGACCTTCACCAGGGCAAACAATCCTTTTCCAGAAAAAAAGAGATAAAATCAAATTAACTGAGATAGTATGACCAAACAGCATTGAAATGCTGAAAAATATTAGTATCCGGTTATATTGTCACTTTCATCAAGAGTCTACTAAAAAGGGCAGCCCGGTGTACTAAGCTCCCGCTATACGCGGGGTCCGAGGAAGGGCCGGACCACAAGGGTCTTATTGTATGCAGTCTTACCCTGCATTTCTGCTAGAGATTGTTTCCACGGCTCGAACCTGTGACCTCCTGGTCACAGGCAACAACTTTACCAGTTACGCCAAGACTCTTCAAATTAAAAAGCAAATCAAGCATATCATAGAATGCTAGCAAAATACCATCATATACATGCATATGTTACACCTCCAAAAAGAATAGTTGGCAGTTATTTTAAATAAAGTAGTGCAGTGCATCCAATCACCATAAAAGTGATTTGGAAAAATGTTAGGACCCCAATATACTGATCAAATGATAAAAAGCAAAGAGAAGGAAGGTGGGCTAAATGCTACACCCCAAGAAAAGTGGTAGCAGTAAACTAGTGAGTAGTTGCTAACGAAGTCCAAATCAAACATTGTGATCAATCTGTAATCATAACATAAAATCCACCAATTCCACGCGAACTTGTTGAGATGTTAAGGACTATTCAGTTCTACATGGATACTCCTGAAGAAAGATTTGAACAGCCACACAGTAACAGCTAGAGCTGATGAAGTGTAAATGAAGGACTGCATAAGATCTTCCATTCAGGGATCTTTTAAGGAAACAATGCTTCAAGATTCAGATGACAGTAGAAGCATGTTGGTATAGCTCATCCACCACAAAAGTAAAGAAAAGAAAGTTGTAGAACATACCTGGACTCAATATGTACGATAGTTACTCCATTAGAAATTTGCTTCATACTTGGTTGAAGATGGACTTCTACCCACCCTTCTGGGGATGGCGCATAGCTTGCCATAATCTGCAAGAAATCAGCAAAGACCTGCTGAATTCTGACTTGATCGCCGTAGACCCTTAATGTCTTGATTTCCTCTGGAATATCCCGGATCAGTTGCACACCTCTTTCCCTCAACAATAACATCACTTGGCTAACAACAGCATCTATCACACTCGAAAGAAAAAATTCTGCTTTCTCAAGCTCCAGTGAACTGTTAGAATTATGAAGGTTAATCATCTTCTGAAGATGGGAAGGAACATTACAACTTGAAGTCAGCTACCTTCTTACATAGAGGTAACATGCATTTCTCCACCCCCCTCCGCAACCACAAAAGAAAAAGAAAAATAGAAAAAGAATAGGGAGGATGATGAAGAGGAAGGAAAAATCTAAAATTGTTCAAACATCACATGACAAGGCAACACATGGTAATTGCCTCTATAAAGACCAAACTCAGTTTGTGTCTCATGGGAACTACCTCGCAAGTTGAAAATATAAGGTTTATGTTCCTACATTTGATATTGATATGGAAATATACTGTCACACAGGTCCAATACCCTCATTCAACTATCCAGATTTCTTGAATAGTTAATTTTTCGGTCACATACTGCTGCGAAGTGAGTTCTTGTGCACTAACCGCAACTAGCTTAACACCACTACAAGCTATAATTCAGATATGATACAAACTTGAGAAGCATATTCCGTAGATTGTCTATAGGATCCTAAGGCCAAATGACAACTAGGACCAAACATGTACCTTGTGTGCTTTCGTCTTGAATGTTAAAACAACTAAAGAACAGTAGTTGTTCATTGCAATGTTTATGATACAGGAAAGTCTTCATGCTTTTCAACCATAGCTCATAAAACATTACCACATTTTTACAAGGACTATAAAAGTTGTACTAGAGTATACTATATCATGGTAAACAGATTCTTTTAACTTGGATGATAGCAAGCACAATTGAATACATACTCACCCGTTTTCAATATTGTCAAGATCAACATCCCTTATGATATTAGACATCTGCCTCTCACAAGCAACATTTGTTTCCAGAAATTGCTTCTGGTCTTCTGTCAAATCTGTGGTCTCTAATAATGAATTTGCAAAGCGTATACCATTCAGCGGATTCTTTAATTCCCGAAAAATGTAAGCCAACCCTTTCATCTGAGAAATACTTGTCCTCTCCTGTTGTCTCTGCATGCTTAGAGTTTGCTGCAATTCAGGACTTGCAATCTGCAAGAAACAGAAGGCCCCAATAATTTGGCCATCCATATTGACTCTCTTGTTAGCAGTCAAAAGAACATGAACAAATTTTCCATTTCGGTCCGAAAAAGAAAATGAAAACTTTTCCGTGTCCTGGCCTCCAATTGCATTATGCAACACAATCATGAATTTAGTCATGGTGTCTGGGCCTTTGAGCCGACAAAAATTGCCAAAAATCTCACCAACTAACATTTTTTCAATGATTTCTCCTCTGTTCCAACCAGTAAGTTTTTCCATCGCAGTGTTCCACTCGACGCAGTAAGTGTTTTCATCTGATACAAATATGGGCGGGATCAGAGGATTAGGGCTGTGCATGACGGCCTTGTAATCACCTTGTATGCGAATAAATTTGTCCATTACAACTTTTTGGGCAGTAACATCCTGGCTAACGAAGCAGACACCAACAATGTTATTCATGTAGTCTTTGCTAGAGCAAGCATTAACCACCACAAAAAGAGCCCTCTTCAGTTGCTCAGCTCCAAATGTCCTAAACTTTATTTCTATGTTCTTATCTTCTTCACCTGTGATTAGTTTAGCAACAACATTATTTTATTTTGCATAGAATGGCTGGACATTGAGAGGGTGGATACCAATCAGTTTCAATAACAAAATGCAACAAAGTCAAGCTGCATACAGAGTACAAAGAGAATATTGCCACCCCACTGTCCGGATTAGCCTGAATCTGATCTTAAATATAATTTCATTTTGTAATCCAGATAAGATATATATCCACAACAATCACGCCCATGTTCTCTGAAATCACCTAGAGTTAATCCACATCGAAAACTCAAGATTGAAACTGACCTCCAAAAGGCATAAAACTGTGTCATGATTACATTAGAAAGCTCTGACGCAACTTGTTACATGCTTTATGATCCATAAAAAATCTTGATTACTTATCATGCTTCCATTACGTGGCTTATGACACGATACAGTTTCTGGGATAGCTTATCACAATCTAATCAACACTTCATATGTGCTGAACCTCTAAGTGCACGGTGTCAAAGCAACAGTACTAAATTAACAGAACTAATTAGTGAAATGTATTTAAATATGGGAGGCAATCTGTTGGATTATTTTGAAACAAAGGAAACGAGATAACAGGTGGTAAAAGATTAGAAATTTCTGTCAGACAGACCAGGGTAAATACATGCTATGGATATTATAGATTAGTCAATCCTTATGAACAGCAGTATAATAATCTATCAGAACACCTACTACCTGTAGTATATGAAAGGATAAGGACAATAGACATTTAATGCACTGGAAGTGCCAAAAAACTAGCTAATTTTCAACACAAACATGAGGATGAAGAGAACACATCTTGCTAAAGTGCTTCTTATCCCTAAAAACATCTATCCAATGGAAAGAAAATTGCTAAATAAATGAAATTTGCAATCCCACCCCCCCTCTATCCTGAAAAAGAATACTAAGGCTCATGATTTTGTTGACTTTAATGGAAGAAAGAATATAAGAAACCAGCATTTTGTGGCATGATTACAGGAGGGAACTTAAGTAAATATCACTAAAACCTGTGATGCCTTTTCCATTAAAATTTCAGAAAACAAAGAAAAGCAAGTGAGAGTATAGTCGCTCAATATAGCTTAAGGGAACTCCACATGCAATGAAATGCACCAGTTGAAATGAAAGAAATGTAGAACGGATTGGTATAACCTTTTAAAGCATTGAAGAGAAGGTTCTCAGCAGTTCTCTGTGATTCTTCGTGGACAAGATCATGAACCAAGGACTTCCCCATTGCTTCTTCAATTGATAACCCTGTCAACTCTGCAATTTTGGCATTCCATCCATTTATGCAACCTTCAACATCAACGGCAAATATGGGTGCTGTAGCAGTCTCTATCAATCTAACCATTTCTCTGGCAACAGATCTCAGCTCATCCATCCCTTGCAACCCCGCTTCCCCAAGCTGAGCATGCGCGACAGCCATAGAATTACTTGCCTCAGCATCCTTGAATGAATCACGTAGAATAAGCTGCAAAGAGTGAATTGCATCCATTTCTGGATTCTCCCATGGTAAACTGCGGCTCTTAACAACTTCCAGAAATGCCTTGAAGGAAGAGCGTGGATGCATTCTCTGCCAATCATCTTTGTCTTCTGGATGATGCTTTGCACCACCCCATTTTAACTCACTCGCAGTGTGTGAACGGAACCAAAACAGGAAATCTTTTGAAGTTACATAAGCAACAGCCATCCCACAAACCGCATCACCAAGTGAAGTTGCCCCAGGATACCCTGCATCGGCCAAACTATCAGTACTCAAACCTGTTGAGTCAACATGATAAGTCAATAGCCACTCCACGATGCCCTTTATCTGGGCTTCAGTAGGTGTAATACCCATAGGATAGTACTTCCCCTGGTAGTACAAAGCGGCCCCATCGCATTTCACAAGGTCGACAATACTGGGACTCTGAGTAACAATCCCCGTAGGTGAGTCTCGAAGAAGCATGTCACATAACAATGTTTGTGTCCTTAAGACATGTTTTTCAGCCAACTGTGATGCCAATTGTAATTCCATGTTTAGTTGGAGCCCAAAGGCCTGCATAAGGAATTCACAGGCATAACGAAGGGGGAAAGGAATGCACCGAGCAGAAGTGTGGTGTCCAACGACCAAGCCCCATAATCTCATCGTATTTCGGCCTCCTCCAACAATTTCATCATCGTTACCATTTATAATAACAGCCAGTGTTAATGACGCGACATTGCCCATATTGACCATGTACTGGGGGTGGCAACCATGAGGGGACCTAAGTGTTGAACCGACTAAACACAGAGGCTGCTCGAGCGATTCATCCTGAATAACCCGCACAGGGGTGGCAGTACAGTCCACAATCATTCTAACCCTATTCTGCTTAAATAAGAATCTCGATGCTTGTGGAATATCAGTAGCCGGATAATGCAAACCAATATAAGGCTCCAAATCATCTCTCTTACTCTCCGCCACGACCTCCCCATGCTCATCCTCATGAAACTTATACACCATAACGCGATCATGCCCAGTGAGCTCCCTCACACTCTTAACAACAGTATCACACAAAAGCTTAACATCTCCACCGGGGAGCGATTGCAAGAGCGAAATAGCCCTTACAGCAAGTTTCTGTGATTGCACAGCTCCAGCAATAGACAATGCAGGGTCCTCTGTTCTAGCAGGCTCCAAATCAATTACAATACCAACATCAATCCTATGCAAAATCGCGTAAAATGGCCTCCCCGAAATCTTGGAATGAATCCAAATCGGATTCAACAAAGCAATCTCACGCGCCCCAAAAGCACCTTCAAGCAAAACAGAGCTTGAAGGAGCAAAAAGGGTCCTAACATCAGTTCCAATTTTCAAAATTTCCACCTTTTCAAGACTCGGAACTGACTGTGGCATTATACCGAGCATGTCGCGTGCATTTTCACTATAAGCAATTACACAAAAACTCGACTCATCTACAGCTACTGTACAACCAAAAGGTTGAATATGACCACCTCTTTGAATATTATTCAAGTAAGCAGTAATTTGATATTCTGGAACAGACTCATTTGTATTTCTAACAGATTGTGAATAATCAAATGATTTTCCTGAAACTCCTGATTGTTCAAATGCAGCATGTAGTCTAGCATCTGTAGTATATTGTGCTACTGCTTTACTTATTGATGTATTATTATTATTGTTATTACTTGTACCTGAAAATTGAGCTTGATGTAGTTTTGGTTTGTGATTACGAGCATGCTTTACTCTGCTTCCACTTCCAGAAGCCATTCTTGAGCTGGTGATCAAGGGACTGAAATATAGCTTCTTCTTTTTTTCTATTATTATAGGAAAAGAGAGAGAGACAAGGAAGACAAATAAAAATAGTACAATAACTTCAAATAATAACAGTGTTTAGGTTAAATAATAATTAAAAATGGTATAATAAAAAACAAAAATTTGGTGTTATATGGAAAAAGAGGGTTCTATATATACTCTAATGGTAGCTAAGAATAAATGGGGAAGCGACCAAGAGTTAAAATATTGCGCACAAGTTAAAAGTGACCCATAAATAACAATTTAAAGAAGCTGGTTCAAAATTTGAATTTTATGAGTTTGTGATTCTATGACAACGATTTTTATGTACTAATAACTAGACCGAATATCTAATATTGTGTGTGTATATATATATGGGCGGGTGTAAAGTAGCGACATTAGGTTCAACTAAACACATAACTTTCGAATTTCGATGCAGAACATAAGTTTATGTGTAAAAATTCTTTAAGATTACAACAAATATATGAACTCATAAGTTAAAAAATTATACGAGTTCAATAATAAGAGTTTTAAAGGTTAAACCCATAAAACCCATAAAATTTAAATCGTGGATCCGCATTTATAGTAAATCTCTTAATATATTTGTAATAAGCTTAATATGATAATCTAGAAAATAAAGTTAATAATATATTATATTAAGTAAAAGTATCGTGATAGTTAAAAAAAAAAAAAAATTACGCTTTCACTAGGTAAAGTTATCCCTCAATATTTACATTAAATTATCATGTCTTTCATACATATATTATTACTTAATTATAATTAACTATTAAGTATATATGTTTACTTTAATTTTTAAGTGCTACGATGATATTACTTATTTTTGGGTGAACACTAATTCGGACAACTAAAACTCTTAGTTCATTCTTGTGGGATTTTTCTTTTCCTTCTATCACAAAATAAATATTTACAATGTATTAATTGGTGTAAAATAAATACTCTCTGATACAAATAAATAGTTCGACAAAAATACAATTACATAAAGTAAATATTAACACAAAAGTTGAAACAAAAAATATAACACAAGTTGAACACGAACTGATGGCAAAGAAACCTGAGACGTCAAGATCTTGAAGTACAATTCTCTCCACTACTTTGGACTAATTCATGAATCTTTTCTTTTTCCTTCTTTTTCTCCCTTTTTAATGCATAAATTGGATATTTTAATAATTATCCAATTTTTGTCTATTGCTCTGTTTTCGTAGCTGGATATATTTGTGGATGTGGTGACATGAATTTCTATTTGACAATTAAAGTAGATCTTTTCATTGGCTGCATTTGCAGAGACCATGTGGGAAATATGAAGTCCACACTCTTCCCCCATCTTATAGTAAAACGTTGTCGTCTCACCAAGAATTGAAGTTTATTATAATAATAAATAATAATAGTAACAATAATAATAATTGACTTTGGAACAACGATAAAGTTATCTCTGTATGATTTATAGATCACGGATTCAGGTCGTGAAAACAGTTATTAATGCTTGCATTAGGGTAGACTGTCTACGTCACATCCCTTGGGGTGCGATCCTTTCTCTGGACACCAAGTTGTCCTATTTTTAATTGAATTCATAATTTAATATGAATTGATATTATATGAATCTTTTAATACATAATAAGATTTGACAAAAACTATTGAATTCATGTGAACTTATATATTATATTAGGGATCCACTCCTGATCGTTTTAATGTACTATTAATACTGATCTTACTGTTTTCAAGTATTCAAATCACTGCGAAAAAACCCTATTCTGATTATTATATGCAAATGTCTCATTTGGGTAAGAATTCAATGTTCAATTTCACACATTTTGTTCGACTACAATAATATGAAAAGCTTAGTATTTCTCAGAGGGAAGTAAGTTAATTATGCAATTAGAAGCTGAGAAAGGGAATATCAAGGGAGTAATTTATGAGTGAAGGAAAGAGTTTCTATATCACACAAACTCTAAGATAAAAGAGAAAAAGAAAAGGTAGAATAATCAAACAAGGATATAATAAACGGAAAAGGGCCAGAACTGTCCCTGAAGTATTGGAATTGGTACAAAATTGCCCTTCGTCAATTTATTTGAATAAAAATGGTCATATTGTTATTTTTTTGGCTCAACATTACCCTTATTACTAACAGAAAATTCATAAAAAAAGAAAATTTAATTAATATCCACGTGTCACCGTCCCATTGACCTAACATAAGCCCCAACCCGTAACCCGCCCAGATATTAACCCGCCCTAATTTTAAAACATAACTCTCTCTTTCTTTCTCTCTTCGCTATTTCATTTTAGTGAGCATTTACTTACGAGTGTATGTCTACTATTATTCATGAGGCAAACTCAAAATTGAGTTCTCTATTAGAATTATTTTTATGGAAGATGAAAGGTTATTTTTATGGAAGATGAAAGGAATTCTCATATTCTTCTTAATGCAAAAAGTTTAGATTCTTTTTTGTTTATGCAATGGGTGTTCTTTATTATATAATTTTTCTTTATTTAAAATTTGTGGTGGGAGGGGTTCTTCACTATTTTTTGTCGTTCCTCCGTGAAAATTTGAGATTTTTTTTTTAATTTTTTTTATTGTTTATGTGATGTGTATTTCTATTTTTTATTTATTTCACTATTTATTCAATTAATATGTAAGTTTTTCTACTCCGTATAACAGGTATTGTGCAATTGTCACATTTCATACACACTTGGTTCATATGATGTACTAATAATAGTTAACAATTTTTTTTAGATAATTTCTTCACTAGTATTTGTTTTCTTATTTTGATTGTTATCATGGATTCAATTTTCTCGATTAGATTAATGTGTTAAGTCTAGTAAAAAAAGGATTTTCTACTCATAATTTGTAAATGAGATAGGCTATTGTGTACGTTGCTATTTTCAGGGGATCCGCCGGTGAATTCCGCCCAAGTAGCAACAAGGCAGAGAAAGCGAGAGAGAGTTGTGTTTTAAAATCGGCGCATGTCAATATTCGGACGGGTTAAGGGTGAGTTTAGTTATATTTTAGTTGAAGTTTAAGTTAGGCCAATGGAACGGTGACACGTGAATATTAATTAAAAAAAAAATATCCAGAATTTTCTGTTAGTAATCAGGGTAATGTTGAGCCAAAAAATTAACGGTAAAGATATTATTATTTAAATAGGTGGACGAAAGGCATTTTTGTACCAATTTGGATTACCTTTTTCCGTATAATAAATAGACAAGACCTTCATATCCTTATCCTTTTTACCTTATGTTGATGATAAAAAGTTCTTTCATTCTAATCTCACCTACTACAAAACGAGGCCAGGCGTAGCTTGCTATTTACTTGACCGTAAACGTTTTTGCAACACCTCTAATAAATGGGCAAATAATCAATTTTGAAAGAATTTATTATCTATCCTCTTTCAAAAATGACTCTGTCTTATTTAAAAGGGAAGAACTTGTATTAATATCTCAATTTCAATTTAAACATGAGTTTGATTCAAACTTTATGTTCTGAAAAATATTTAACATCCGAAAAGAGGAAATAGTGAAAAAGAAAACTCAAAATATAAAATGAGTTAGCCTTTCTTTCTTTTTCCTTCTTTTTAAAACAGCCGATATTTTTGTAAAAGTAAAACTAGTACACAAAGCACAAATCCTCGCCGCATCACATTGACCATGTTGTGGAATTTGGGAAATCCCTTGACCATGTTAAGTTAAAAATGGATAAAAATGGCAGCACGATGTATAAAATATCTCATATTTATATATGGTTTGGGGACGAGTCGCAACCCAATGTACAATATAAAAAGCTTATCTTAATACGAATATTAATAATTATTTTTATGGCTCGAACCCGTAAACACGGACAAAAAATATGATGTTGCTTTTGAGGAGAAACAAAGAAAGAAAAGAGGATGAAAATGATTTAAATGACATGCAAATTGGTGGGGGGCAAGTAATGTCTAATCCCTTTCGGATCACATTTCCTTCACGTGAAGTTCGTACCATTATTGACACCCCAAATCACAATGAATAATATTATTTGAGTTATTTGTCCTTTAGCTTCCAAAGTCAGAGCTTGACAAGTGTTGAGTGTCGGGAGTAATCTCAATTGAACCCATTATTCTTAGTAGTATAGATGACATAATATTCCGATAAAAGTATTATAAAAATTAAAATTTAGTTTTATTTTAAATAAAATTAAGGAGTTATTTGGTTTGAAGCAAGTTATATTGGAATTATAATAATATGGGGATTATAATTCGAGATTAAATAATAACAAGATTATGCCATGAATATACTTTAATAATGATGTTTTAGTTCATTGGTTTTACAAAATACTCTGTTTTTTTTTCATTTAGCTGTCATGATAAAGTTCTACACGCCCATTAAAAATATTAATAAAAAAAGTAATTTGACTAATCTATCCCTTATTAGTTCTTTAATCTTTATCTACTATTCACATGCTTCTTAATTCTTGAACTATAATGCTATGGGTAAGGTTGAAAAATAATAATTAATTATCTCTTGATTTTCTAAAATGATAAAGTATTTGAGAACAATTGTTATTAGTATACCTGACAACTAAATGAGAACGGACAGTATAAATAAATTTGAATAAATGTTTACTTTCCAATTTAACCTTAACTTTCTTAGAAGACTTTAGGAGAAAACTTTGGAGAAGGATAAACGTGTATACTTATTTATTATTTTATCCTGGGATTAGTAATCTCAAAATTAAATTTTAAGTGTGGTACAAAATACTAACAATTGTGATATGAATAACCCCAAAATTACTTATACCGAAATCAAAAGTTCAACCAAATACAAGATAAAATAATTTTATATTTTATCCCGAAATTATTGTAAATCATCCTTGTAACCCAAAAACACCTATGAACCTGAAACCTCTTGAGTTATAAATTTTGAAAACAACTCTGACCAAAGGTACAAAATTAGTAGTATCTGCTAAGGGGAGGATAGTTACTTTCTGGCATGATGCAGATAATTATTGTACTGTGTGTCCAAGAATTGGTTCACATTTAACCAATCAGGACAGTGAAACCCAACGTTATTGTTTCAAAACACATTT